ATGCGGTAAGGACAGAGAAGCAATGACACGGTTTTTTTTTTTTTTTTTTTTTTTTGAGACGGAGTCTCGCTCTGTCGCCCAGGCTGGAGTGCAGTGGCGCAATCTCGACTCACTGCAAGCTCCGCCTCCCGGGTTCACGCCATTCTCCTGCCTCAGCCTCCCGAGTAGCTCGGACTACAGGCGCCCGCCACCTCGCCCGGCTAATTTTTTCTATTTTTAGTAGAGGCAGGGTTTCACCATGGTCTCCATCTCCTGACCTTGTGATCCGCCCGCCTCGGCCTCCCAAAGTGCTGGGATTACAGGCGTGAGCCACCACGCCCGGCCTGACACGGTTTTTATGCTCAGTAAAACCAGAAACCATTGGAGGGTTTGGAACAAAAGAGTTACATGATCTGATGTATATTTTAAGAGATGACTTTGGTTGCTATTTGGACAAGAAGTTTTAGGGAAGTAAAGGCAGAAGCAGAGAGTCAGATAGGAAGCTATTCCAGGAATCCAGGCATGACATGATAAGGGCCCAGGGTTGGTCAGATTCTGGTTATACTTTGAGAGGAAGCCAGCAGGATTTCTTGTTGGATTTGACGTTGAGTGAGAGAGAAAGGACCTGAGGATGACTCTGAGGTTTTTAGCCTGAGTAACTGGAAGGAAAGCACTGCTCTAAAAGTTTTCCCTGTTTTAACTCCTCTAATATCCCTCAATAACTGGATAAAGTAGTATTGTCTCCATTTACAGTTGGGACACTAAGAGACAGAGAAGCTGTCCAGGTTATAGAGCTATTAAAAAACAGAGTCAGGATTTGACCAGGCAGGCTGTGCTCCCAACCAGTGTACCATGCTTCCTCACCATGACAGCATCTAGTAGGATGAAAGGCTTTTATACAGAGATAATATAATATTATAATCTAGGCAAATATTATTATAATATAATCTAGACTATATTATAATCTAGGATAATATTATAATCTAGGAAAAATTATTCGGGTCTGAACAAGGAGGGTTGCCACAAGAATAAAAAGAAAGGCATAAATTCATGGGCGAGATAACCCAAAATGGGCAAAAGACACACTGACCAGAATTTGTGCAACTTTTAAGATAGAAGGTTAGGCAAGGGGGCTCCTGTCTGTAATCCCAGTGCTTTGAGAGGCTGAAGTGGGAGAATCGTTTGATGCTAGGAGTTCAAGACCAGCCAGGGCTACATGACAAGACCTGGTCTCTACAAAAGATAAAAAAAAATTATCCAGGCATGTTGCCACTCAGGAAGCTGAGGCAGGAAGATTGCTTGAGCCCAGTAGTGTGAGGCTACTGTGAGCTATGAAGGTGCCACTGTGCTCCAGCTGGGGCAACAGAGCAAGATCCGTCTCTTAAAAAAAAAGAAAAAAAGAAAAAAGAACACAGTAGCTCTGAGTTTACATCTCCACATTCAAATACTCAGATGCTTATATAATTCTTATTTAAGTTGTAAGGACTATGTGCAGAGTGTCCTTTGGTGTGGCCTGGGCACTTAGAGATACTACCTCATACCAAGCTTTCTCCCTTTAGTAACCTGAGTGCATCCCACACTAACCGAATCCTGTAGGTCCTAGAATACAAACAAGGTGCAGCAATGTTTTCATAATGCTGTAGTTTGAATATAGGCAAAAATGTTCATATTTAGATTTGAAGAGTGTTATAGTTTGTAACTTTGTTGAGTTATAGGTACATGTACAGCCTGACCTGATACCCGCTGTCAATAAAAGGTATGAACATGCCCAGCCAGCACCAGGAAGAGCCCTGTGGCCCTCTCTCTGGGGCAGCCTGGTATAAAAGACATGTTGTGTGGCCTGTTATATTGTGGTTGTATCTGCTAGAAACATCTAGAGGGATTTCCATCCCCACCCCCTCCGCAATCATTATGTACCTTATGCTGCTTGAAACAAAGAGAACTATAACCCTTGCTCTCATTTAATCGAGGGACCTACCTTCAACTCCACACTCAAATCTGAGTCTATTTCTCTGTGCAAGGGGCCATTTTCTTAGTGAAAAAATAAAACAGCACTTACTTTCATCTACAGAACTAGTCAATACAAACCAGAACTGTGTGAATTAAAGATAGGCTTTAACTCTTCTAAAGAGAAAAATAAGTATTCCTATCCATTTTAGGTAATACTTTGTGTGGCAGACTGTATTTTCCAAGTATAGCATTTCTCCCATCCTACATGTTCTTATGAGGTAACTTTTACATTCCTCCCGTTGAGGGACATGGTCTGTGTCCTCTCCTCTTGAAAATGGGTGGGCTTTTGTACAGGGGAAGTGATATTCCCTGACTTCTATGGCTATGTTATAAAAGGCAATACTGCTTTCATTTTGTTCACTGGAATGCTTACTGCTGAAGCCTTCGGTCTGACTCCCCTGAGACTGCCATGCTCTGAGGAAGCTCAAAGTAGCCCAAGGGGAAAGACTACACAGAGATCTCCAGTCATCCCCCACTGCCTCAACCTCCTGGTTCCTGGTTAAGCCACAGTCTGACTGCAATTGCACCAGGGACCCCAAACAATAACCACTCAGCTTCTCAAATCATTGATCCTTCAAAGTGGTGAGAGATGTAGCTTTGATGTAGCTGTAAGTCATCACATTTAGGGGTGATTTGTTAGTCAATAATAGATAAACTGTAACAGCTTGAGAAACAACAATACTATTTATATAAAGATAACAAAGGCTATACAAATAGTATGCTAACTGATGGAAAAATATATGCTAAATATATACACTGAATTATAATATATAGACTATATTTTAAATTATATATCATTTTGAATGAATCTATTATATATAATACATTATGTGTAACTTATGTGTATATATATGCATCCAAAAGTAATGATTTAATCATTTGCTGATGCCAGGCACAGTGCTGGCCCTAAATAAGTGTGTTCAATCACTTTTCCATTTAGACACTTGAAAAATTATATGTACTTCTGTGCAAAATAATGGCCCATCATGGTGGTGGATTCTCAGTGGGTGAGGTTACATCAGGTGCTTACTCAAACTTCATCTCTTACCTTCTTTCTTACTAACAGAATCTAATTTCGTTGGAGAGGACAATGTACCTGTCTAGAAAATTAGTTCACAGCTTCCCTTGCAGCTAGAGATGGCCATGAGGCAGTTTTGACCATTGACATGTAAGTGAAAGTTGTTGTGTAGGACTCCTGGGAAAGTCCTTTAGAAGGAAACAGACCTAGACTCTATTGTATTTGGTACCCAAGGAGGCATACAAAGACATCTTCTTCCCTGGTGGTATATGGTATACGCAGATTTTCTCTGTATCCCTGCCGCTCCCCAGAGTACTTAGCTACGTGGCATGATGCTTTGGAATGACAGACAGTAACTACAGTCTGTTACACCCAGTTACCTCCTACAAGAGGGAAATACTGGAAAATGCTGGTGACAGGGAGCCTCGGGCTCCATGGAAGGGGTTCTTTTCCAGAGGCTCTCCTAACCAGGATGGTATTGCTACTCCTCCATCAAACATCTTCAGTGGGTCCTGATGAACATTATTTTTTGTTTCATCAAAGGTAACTACTTAACATTAGGAAAATATATATTGCAAGTCTGTAATACACTTTTCACTTGTCAACAGGTATGCCACCTTTGTTTTTATTAAGATTTGATGTAGGCCTGTCTTTTTAAACTGTACTGTAAACATTTTAAGGGCAGGGACCACGTCTAGTACATTTTAAAGTTTCTCATGACACTTACATGCAGTGAGCACCCTAAATACTGACTAACTACCAGTGAAAATCATGTCAATTCTGTCATTTTGGTTCCTACCTTAAATAACATCTATACAGAATATTATAATACATACATTGCTTTTTAAAAACTGGATAATTTCAAACATACACAAAAGTAGACAGAAGAGTAAAATAAAATCCTATTAAGTGAACCCATTAGCCAACTTTAACAATTATCAATACCTCCTTTCTTTTTACTAGAGTATGTTACAGTGAAATCAGACAACCTATAATTTTACATATACATACTTCAGTGTATGTATCTCACATGGAAGGACTTTAAAAATATACATCTGCAATACAGTAATAATATCCAATATTAATCATTTCTGTCTTTTAAATTTTAGTTCTTGTTCAGTTATATTTGATTGTTATAAGAATATCCTTTTATGATTTGGTTTGTTCAAATCAGGATTCAAATGACATTTGGTTAGTATATCTTAAGTCTTTTATCTACAAAAGTTGCCTTCTCTGCTTTTCTTTTTTTTAAAATGTCATTTATTTATTAAAGAAACCAGGTCATTTGTTCTATGGAATTTCCTACATTTTGGATTTGGCTGATTGTATCCTCTTGGTGTCTTTTAAAACTTTTCCTCTATATATATTGTATTTCCTGTAACTAGTAGCTTATAAACAGAGGATTGATTAGATTCAAGTTCAAAAAAATTTTTGCCATGAAAACCTCAGAGTATTATAGTGTATTAAGAGACAAAACATCTGGTTGTCCCACTCTGAATGACATTAAGATTGATCAATGGGTTCAGTCGTATCAGCACAAGCCATCCCCATCAACCTTTCATCTAATTGTTTTAGCAACCAGTGATCCCATTTATTAGAGCCAGCAGGATGGCAAAATTATTCTTTTTTGTTAATTCTTTCCACTTAAAAAACCTTGCCTACTAACATACCACCAATTTTGAAATTCTGTACAACCAAAACACATAACTCAAATTCAAATTCCTTCATAGAGTCTTCCCTGTCTGCTAAGTGGCAGAACTGTCACTCATCTGGCACCTGTCATCTACTGCCCTGTCACATAATTTCATCCACCAGTTGGTAAGCTCCAGGAGATCCCAATTATGTCCCAGGTATCTCTGTATCCCAAAGATGAACACAGCACGTGTACAAGAAATATGTAAAATAACTTTGATTGGTGAGTATTCAAATTAAAAGCCACCAACCCATGCAAACACATGCAGCTAGATTCCAAAATGAAAAATACACACACATATACATGCGATACCACAAATTTATTATAGTACATGGAAAAACAAACTCAAACTTTGACAACATCCACAGAATGTTCCAGTCTTTAAAAAGTTAACAGAAATAAAGGGTAATGGAGAGAATATAATCTCATAATTTTATAATTAAGGCTGTAAATGGCAAAGTCCTATAGATATTTAAAAATCTGTATTTGTATTTATTTATAATATAGATATAGGCCCTCAAGGATTCATAGAGATTTATGTAATAAACTAGATTTTGGAACTGCTTATTTTGTTGTTGTTGCTGGTTAGGTAAGCAAACCCAAACAAATTAAGTCCTGAAAAGTGAGATGAAATCCCAAAAGAACTCTATGTGACCAAACAGAACTCTTTTAATAAATATGGCCCATACAAATTCTATATCCAGTGAAAATCATTTTGATCCACAATCATGTTGATGTTTCTATGGAGGATACTTCTAGCAGCTGTGATTTCTTTGTAGCATTCTGGCTCTCCACTTCTATTCATATAATTGAGTACGTGCTTTATTACATGTTAGCTCATAGGCAAGTTAAACATTTTAAAGACTACGGGGAGGTTAGGAGAGGTCGTATGATGAAGGTCGGAAAGTATGCAAGAAATACACTCTCCTGTTTCATCTCTTTTATTTTTGCCTCATTTTGGTCTCTATACTACTTGGGGTCTTTGGAAATGGTGTGATTTATAACAGCACCTAGCATACCTTCTCATTTTAGCACAGGTTAGATATGAAGAGCCAAACCTGGAAAACAGTTAAGGAGTCCTGAGACCTTTCCAGTGGAATAAATTAGAGCAGTAGTTTCATTTAGCTGTGCTTTTTTGTCCTTTATTCTTTTTTTTCTAAAAATATAAAATTATGGCCGGGCGCAGTGGCTCACCCCTGTAATCCCAGCACTTTGGGAGCGCGAGGTGGGAGGATCACCTGAGGTCAGGAGTTCGAGACCAGCCTGGCCAACCCTGTATCTACTAAAAATACAAAAGTCAGCTGGACATGGTAGCAGGCGCCTGTAATCCCAGCTACTTGGGAGGCTGAGGCAGGAGAATCACTTGAACCAGAGAGGCGAGGTTGCAGTGAGCCAAGATCGCGCCACTGCACTCTAGCCTGGTCAACAAGAGTAAAACTCTGCTTCAGAAAAAAAAAAAAAAATAAATGTTATATATATAATTACTCCCATTTATCAACCTTTACCTTCTCATACAGTAATCAAGTAAAATCACAAGAGATCACTTAAAGGCAAATAACCTTATGAATCTGGTAAGTGTAAACATAAAAGGCCATGGTATTGAGTAAAACTTAGGCATTGTTGTACAATAAGTATCTCTGTGTGTTCAACATTCACTGGGGCTTTAAGTACTAGTTGTTTAAAGTCCTACAAACATAAACAGTCCTTCAAAATTGACTATAAATAAAAGAAGAAAAAAATAGGGAAAAATTCACAAATGTCCAAATATTGTTATTTCTTGGACAAAACTCTACTGACTAGTAGTTTTGATTCTCTAACAGGAAAATGTAAAAATAACAGAATTTTAGAAAGTAGCAATTTTAAAGAAACAAAGCCTATGCCAAATGAATTTCAGCCTTTCATTACATGGTTTATAGGTCTGGAAACAGAAATCCAGGTTGTTAATTAATTCATAATTCCAGAAAATACTTTATTGGTCAGTATATCTATAACATTAATTATATAATCTATAACTATTATATAGTCTGTCTGTCTCTCTCTCAAAGTAGAACAGCCCTTGCTTACATAATCAATTTTCCCCTGGATATTTTCTGTGCCACAATTTGCCTCTAGTTGCTTCACAGCCACTCTAAACCATATCTGGAAACTGTGTACAATGGGTAATATTATTTATAATTTAAGGGTAGTACCTGTAGTGTGCTCATGATATGAACATTTAAGTATCTAACGTATATATTTAACCAAGATAATAATTTAAACCATGACAATGTAAGACAGTGATGTGATACTATAACAGACAACAGGTTTTTCCCACTGAACCACACAGTACTTTTTTCATTGACAAATTCACCTCTTTCCAGAGATCTACAAAGTTAATTGTAAAACAGTAATAGCAAAGTGTTCATTAACCCATTAAAACAAATCACCTTGTTTTGAAAATAATCAGCTGAATGAAACTTGGTGTCAAGTGCATTAGTATACTAAACCAAAGTATGGTTACTCTGAAACAGTTTGTACAACAAATGGGTTGTGAAGAAGTCTTATCAGCAAAACTGGTGATGGCTACTCAAAAGTTCCATTGAAAATTATCAATAATGATTTTGAATGACAAGTTATCAAAAACTCACTCAATTTTCACCTGTGCTAGCTTGCTAACATGGGAGTTAACTTTAGAGCAAACATAGCATCTTCTGAATACAGCCAATAAATGACAAAGCTAGGGCCTATGGTTGGTTTCCAGACTTTCCAGACCCGGCAGAAGGAATCTATTGTAACACATGGATCTCTGTCTGTGCTCAAAATATCTAATGATATTTTTCATCTTTACTGGACTTCCTTGAAGAGTACTGTATTGCTTCATATCTTTTTGCACTGTAACAAAATGTGTTAAACAAAACCTTTGGATTAGCTTTAAAAGCAGCTAAAAAAAAAAAAAAAAAACTTCTGGCTGCTGTAGGCTCTAATTATCAGAAGACTGTTACCTGGAAGCTTCGGGCTCTCAAATATCAGACATCCCAATAACTTATCATAAAAATACAAGCTCTTAGTTTTGAAAAATATACAAAATGCACTGCATAGGCAAATATCTCTTGATTGTCAAGGAAGACAATGTATCAGTTTCGATCATAGACTTATGTTGGGCTTCAGTTATCTTTGTATTTGCAAGTTCCATTTTTCACAGTTTTGGGCAACCTCTGACCTTTGGTGTAAGCACGGTACCAAAAATGGAGAAAGAGCAGCAGAAACATGCAACTGTAACTCATTATGATGCACGCAAAGACTGGAAACTGATACTTGCAATCCTCCATGAAAAAGAACTGGCTTATGTGGATGGTGACAATAACAAACTGGACCTAAGAAATGAAAACATGAAAAAAAATTATTCAGATATCGAGAGTTACAATTCTTTACCTACCTATGTTTATGCACTCCCAAAGTGCAGGGAGTGCACTGTTGGGCAGAGAAGTCCATCTTTAAATCTAGCCTCCTTGGGAGTGATAATGGGTAGTATAATGTCAAAAGCCAGTTGGAAGTATGGATCCACTATTCAGAACCACAAAATGGCACAACCGCAGGGTCTATATTTAAGTGTTCCCTGGAGCTGTGCAGTGCAGCAACCTTTTTACTACTCAGAGAATCAACAGAGCAGGTTTTCCCTATAAGTCTCTGACTTGAGTCCTTGACTATGATGAAATGACCATGTACTACATTGTGGCCTATTTTCTCAGGATGAGTTCAATTTCAAATAGTCTGTCCTGTTATTGGACCAGATATTTTAATTTTTGGAAAATAATTACATTTTACTTAGAGCCCCTTGAATTTTGTAGTAGCCAAAGCATCTCTGAGTCCTTATACCTGTCACTTGTCCTCCACGGTCATAGATAAAAATGTGTCTGGGCCAGGTGCAGTGGATTACGCCTGTAATCCCAGCACTTTGGGAGGCTGAGGCGGGTGGATCACGAGGTCAGGAGTTCGAGACTAGCCTGGCCAAGATAGTGAAACCCCATCTCTACTAAAAATACAAAAATTAGCCCAGCGCCTGTAGTCCCAGCTACTCAGGAGGCTGAGGCAGAAGAATTGCTTGAACCTGGGAGGCCGAGGTTGCAGTGAGCCGAAATTGTGCCACTGCACTCTAGCCTGGGTGACAGAGCGAGATTCCATCTCAAAAAAAAAAAAAAAAAAAAAAAAAAAAGGTCTGAACTGCCAACTGAGGCAGAGAATCTATAAGGTGTGAGAGAGAACTGGTGGCCCTTCTAGTAGTGCTCAAGGGCTCTGTGGGGCAGAACATCTTACATAGTCCCAAAAGGGACCTTTTCTAAGCTAATATTCAGATTTTCTGGTTATCATGTTTTCCCTGATTAAAAAGCAACATGTGTTCTGCAGAAATTTTAGAAAAGTAAAACTCTATAAAGAAATAGGTAACAATTATCCACAATTGGTCTTATTAATCATGGTTAAGATTTTCATATAGTTTATTTTATTATTTTATCCTTATCATCAACTTTCCTTGCATTATCTTAATGTATATTTATGACATTCCCATAGCATAGCCACTTATTCCTCTCATTTTGCAAAAGAGAAAAAAAAACTTTAGGAAGGCTAAGCGATGTCCTCAACATTCTATGCATGTGTATGTTTGTGTATAATTGACATCTTTGAAAATATAATAAACAAATGTTCATCCTATTTTTTCTACATCCATATTTTTCCACATTATTAAAAAGTTTGTACAACATTTAAGAGTATGCTAAGAGAAAAAAAAAGCCTAAATACAAAATACAAAATTATATATGCAATCTATACAAATAATGTAAAAGGTGTACACATATGCTTGAGAGAAAAACTGGATGAAAACAAAAATATCATCAGTGATTATCCCTGGGTGGCAGAATTACATGTATTTTTTTCTCTTTTCTTAATTAGGTGTTCTCACATATTTGCAATGAGCATATACTGCTTTAAGAAAATAATATTTTTTAAAGAAGCAATGGTGAGTAATTTTCATGACTTCATAGTATCTCAAGTATGAATTAAAATAATCTGTTTTACCATTTCCTTATGGTTGGTCATTTAGTTTGCTGCCTGTTTCAGATACAACAAATAACTCCGCAAGGAAATACTCTGATCTTGATTTAGGATCCTTATACATTAAAATGTCAGTCTCTCACCTGGGAGAATACATTATATGAATGTGCCAAATTTCATTTAGGAAGTTACAGAATTTTAATAAAGAATTAATCTTCAACACGCTATCTAAATCAAATTCATACTTTCTCATTGATGTTACTGGCAGAATATGACATCAATTTATCATAGATTGCAAATGTGGAAATACAAGGACGGCAGAATTCTCCTTTTAATGGACACCAATAAAATGTAAAGCAAATCATCATCTCAAACCCATAATGCATCTCCAAAAAAGTTAAATACCATATATTTTGAGAATTAATACTTAGAATGTATTATTAGGTCTAAACTGAGTGCCTCTGCTCTTTCAAACATTGTTTATATAAGGGCAGTATTCAAATTTAGGTAATACATATATGTTGGTCTAACCCTCTGCATGTTTAATTCTCACAATGCTTTTTATTGACTGGAGGAAAGACGGACTTATAAATGTTAGGACTAGATAGGTAAGCACACAGGAAGGCTCATCGTTCCCTCAAAGTTGCATTCCCTCAAGGCCATCTAGAGCTAATGGAATTTCTAATTTCTAATAGGTATTATGCCTATTGAGGGTCATATAACTTTGGAGTTATTTTAATCACAAATTTATTTATTCTTGTATAAATGCATAAAATAGTATAAAGATGGCATAAAAATGCACACTTGTTTAATTGTCTCAGCCTTTTGGTTACCAAAGTTCATCTAACGTTATTAAGAACAATGATGGCATATCATGTAGGGGACAGACACTCTACCCCTATTGTTTTGTTAACTTTCTTCTTTATTTAACTAGTATCCTAGTTCACAGTGAAAACAAGTGACTGTAGTTGCTTCATATATGGTTTTAAAGACAATTAATTACTCACAAGCTGTAATGATGTCAAATATTTTTTCCACCACAAATACTTCTGGTAGGCTGGTCCCAGTGCAGAGAGTCCGTAGTAGGAATACATGACTACATGTACAGCTGTATTTAGAAGGGCATGGAATGTTCCCAAACCACCTGAAAAATAAAATTATTGTAACGTGGGGCCATTGTTCCTTAAAATGAACCACGTTTTCATCCGAACTGAGATTTTTATATAATTATTTCTTGAATTTTGGAAAAAAATATATAAAATATCAATCCTGTTAAATAACTATCAACTTAGAGGGGGCTGGATAGTATATTTAGTAAAATATAAGATATGAACCTGAGAAAGTAAATTAGCATATCTTCATTTTGTTATATCTTAGCTTAAGGTGGTCTTACGATTTGAGTTTACTTACACTTAGTTGAGTTACCTTTTAAATATATGTTGCTAAATAATAGTATGCTAAATGCTAAATAAATATATGTTGCTAAATAATAATAGTTGATAAATAATGTTAATTCATATTTTAGTGAGGGTTAATGTATAAAAATATACAAAGTACATTAATCTTAACTTGATGATTTTTCATGTATGTATACACCCACGTCACTACCAAGATCAAGATATAGAACATTTCCAACACCACTTAAGAGTCCCATGAGCTCCCAAGGTAGCTTTAACTTCTTATCACCAACTATTACTTTTGTCTGCTATTAAACTTCACAAATTTACTTTTCCTACTCTCAATAATCTTCATTAAATAATTTTGGCAGTAAAACCACTGGCTTTCATTAGCAAACTGCTGAATTTACTTTAATGAATTATTGTTTTCCCAAAGTAAATATCTACTAACTGTTACACCATCCTTATTTACGGCTTCCAATTGATTATGCCTTCCTATCTTGGTTTTCCTCTTCTTATTTCACCACATTTCCTACCGATCCCCTTCAATTGAGAATAGAAGCAAAGAACACATGGGAATGTAAGAAAAGATCACTTCAGTGGTCTTTAGCTGGACCAGTAATACAGCAGAAGGGGTAATGGTGTTTAGCTGAAAATGTGGTGGAGGGAACACTCTCCCTGGGGTCCCTTGCCTAAGAGAACAATCTGGAACAATATGTGTTCTTTATGTATAGCCTGACTCAGCTTAGTAATGTTGACCTGGAATTTACATTTTTCTCGGAAACATTCTATTTTCTTAATTCCAGTATTCTTTAATTCTGGAAATAAAGCAAAACCTCATCAATTTAGATTATGGTAGAAGAACTGAATTCATAAACACTATGCATTACAGAAAGTTTAAAGGAAAATACAAATTCATCACTTCTAACATGATCTAATGAAAAATCTAATAAAACCATTACACAGTAGAAATTGCTTTTAAATAATTATTCATAATTGCAGCAATTCTAGATATTTCTAGATACTAGCAATGCTGAAGTACTCTGTTAAAATAACCTGTTTTAAATAATTACTTTTAAGTAGTTAAGTATTCTCCCAAAGCCTCATTTATGCTACACTGTTCTACATAAACTTTCTCCTTCTGATGAGAGAAAGGCATATTTTAGCTAATCCCTCAATTACCATAAATTTCAAGTCAGAAGGAACTGAATTAATTAAGCTTATTAACAACTTTCCAGCTTGTATTATTTACATTTGGATTGGTCTTCTTTCCCAAAGGAAATTTGAATAAACACATTATTGTGGTGTAAGAACACCTTTTCTAGGTTAATTTAAAAATAGAATAGTTGTCTACTACTGATAGTTTAGGAGTCAAGGTGCTTAAAAGGAAGATAAGCCAAATACCTCTCAAATTCATTTGTGTTTCATAATAATACACACATAGGAAATCTATTTCACCTTTGATGTGGAACTATGTCAGAGCTTTTCTAACTAAGACACCTCTCCTATTATTTAATAGACGAGTGCCTATTTTCTGTTTGGATACTGTCACCATTAAATGTCCTAAAATGAGGATGTTAGACACAGGGATTTAACAAAGCACTAGCGTAGCCAAAACTGTTTAGTAAGGTTTACTGATCAAAATAAGCTATCAAATAAAAGTAACATGTTTACCTTCTCTAGTTATGATTTTTTCTGACAAGCTATTTTAAAAAGTTTATTTACAAAACAACCATATTTTAATTAGTAATGTTTTTTGTATCTTCTTTGGAAAGCTTTCCTAACAAAATATTTTCTAAGCCTGTTTGTTTTCTGCTTTATGACAATGGGTCTATAAACAAACATCTCAGAATGAATTACAATTAGTACCCATCACATTTTACTCCTTTGCACAAAACAAAGGAATCACCTGGGTAATTATCACAATTCTCCCTATCTCTGGAAGGGGATATATGCATAAATTAATATTATAATTCACATAATTATTATAATATAATTAATATTATAATTAATATAAAAACCTACCACAGAAATATTTTCATCCTATTCAAAAGAAAAGCTGGATTGCTATTACCCTATTGAAGAGTACAACAGAAAAACAGGAAATTAAATACTAGATAGAGATCAGCTGTGCTCAAGTTTTTGCAAAGAACAGTTTAGAATGGACAGTTTCATTCTAGGAATGGACATCAGTACCAAACATTTCTGGGAACAGCTTTTGTTGCTGTGTTTGTCACTGAAATAGGTATCAGATCTGCTAAACAAGTATTTACTAGAATTCCACATGTAAGACTGAACAGAAGTGCCAATGCATGGAACATATGAGAGAGAAGAAAAAAACTATCTTGTACTATTTTCATTTTGTAAAGAAGAAGAAGGATTAAAGTGTGGACAAGAAACCTGTTATAAAGTGACTGATGTCCATAAACATAGTACCACTTAAAAACTGTGGTATGTCGCTTGAACCTGGGAAGAGGAGGTTGCAGTGATCCGAGATCACACCATTGCACTCCACTTGGGCAACAAGAGTGAAACTCTGCCTCAAAAAAAAAAAAAGTTGTGGTATATCATATTTAAATTCTCATTATTGAAAGCACTGCTTTTGAAATGGAAACCACACTATCAATGAACTCAAACATAGAAGTTAGAAAAATGCTCAATTGTATTCATTAAATAAAATTTATTTCTCCCATTCTTTAACAGTCAGATATTCAGTATTTAACAATTAGAAAATACAGAGAAAGGGAGGGAAATACAGAGGGAGAAAAAACCCACTTTTTGTTTCAATATCTCCCAATTACCTCTGTTTATATTTTGGGATATTGCCTTCCAATCTTTCTTCTATTCACATTTAGTTTTCAGCGTGTATCCTGGCCTCATGGGAGAAATCAGAATAAATAAACTATAAGGATGTGAAAGCACCTTTTCTAGCATACTTTAAAAATAGAATAAGTTCATCTACTTCTGATAATTTTGGAGTCAAGCCGCTTAACAAAGAAGATGAGCTTTGTTAAATCCTTGTGTATAGAATCCTCATTTTAGGACATTTAATACCTCTCAATATCATTTTTGTTTCACAGTTATATACACACAAGTAATAATAACCACTCTATTAGTGAGTGTTTAGGTATTTTCCAGTTTTTCACAAACACCAGTAAGTGTCAATGTATACCACTGTAGAAAGAATGGGAAGGGGCAATATGCATATAAGAGGAAACAAAAACACAGAAAGTAAGGATAAGTAAAATAATGGAGATTAATATAGTCACTGTTGATTTGGCAAATGGACACCGCTGAGACTATCTTGTTTTAATGTAAATGAAATGTTTATACTAACAAACCTCGTAAGAAAAAGCAGCCAGTTTTGAGCCAGTTTTGAGCAAGGAGGTACTTTACATCCTGGAAAATCCGATGCCCATAAGCCATGGTAGCGACAACTGTTCACTCATGATTCACAGCCCCTGTGGCTCCTCTGAGTTTTGGCATCCCCTTCCTGACATGGGCTTATCCATGTCCTCTCATGCTCTGAGACACGCAGATCTTTTTCCTCCACGCTTAGAGAGTCTAGAACTCAAACAAGAGTTCCTCAATTGTGGTTCCCCCTTTCTTTTAGTCTGGCAGAGTCAGAAAGGCCAAAAGAGGCAAGCTATTCACAGAAATGTTATGAACTATGGGTCTATTTGAAGACTTTTAAAATTTAAGAAACTGGAGCAAATAAATCCCTCAACCAAATTTTCCTAAGGTAAAAACATATCCTTGGGGATATCACTTATTTAAAACTGTAATAGGATAAAATTATTCTGATTTCTCCAATTCTAGACGATCAGAAGCCTAAAACGAAAAAGAAACAACCAACCTGTTTTCCACGTTTTCAAATTAAACAATTTTGGACCTTAAAAATAGTATCAACACATTCTTTACTATGGTAGGATGCTTTAGGAAGTTGGGGTAACCACAATTTGACATATCTTTAAAGAGCTGTTAGGGGTTACAGTGTGTGTCAGCTATTAGAAATTTGAAGGCAAATAAGACATAGAATTTGAGATAAGCATTCTAACTTCCTGGGAACATGCAGGAAATTGTTCTCTATACTTCTATAAAGTCAAAGCTTTTGCCATTTTAGTTATTTGTTTGTTTATCTATTTCTTTAAATGTATTTAATAAACCTCTCTGGGAAAATAATAAAATACAAACAAAATGACTAAAGAATATGTGTGCCCAGAAATTATGCATATCTAAAGAGTAGGGTAAACCTAATTATTATGAGTCTTACGTTTATTTTTCAAGTAATAGTTAATGAAAGAAGTAGAAACAAAGGGACTCTTTGATTTTTTGAGTTTCTTATAAATCACATTTCAGAAAAATATTTTGTTTATAGCATATAGAAATGTTATTGTTTATAACACATGATCCCAACTTCCCCTTATCTACCTGCAGCAAATTTGACTCCAAACCACCAGGTCCATGGCATGATGGTATGATGGAATACATGAAGGAAAGTCACTTGGTTATTTTTCTTGCGCAGAACAAAAAAGATCTGAAATAATTTAAAGAATATCAAGTTCATAGAAAATCATGCGATAGTGTATTGAGTATTATTAAAATATTGGCAAAGTGCAAAGTATTTCATATCATGATTTCCTCTAAAAGCGTTGCCTTATAGAATGCTTACAGAAGCAGCTAATTCCCCAAAGGGCAGCTCAAAATCTCATTATTATGAAGTAACTTAGGTACGATGCCTACACATGGAAGATCCAACAAAAAGGTGAAAAGAAATTGTATGCAGATTTAAAAATCAAAGATATAAAGTAAGGAATATGGCCACAAATTATTGAAAGAAACTCTATTAGTAAAAAAAAAAAAAAAAAAAAAAAAAAAAATCCAGTGGATTTTGAGGTATATGGGAAAGCAGAAGACTTAGGATTGAAATATTCTACATCGCTCTCTAATACATCTTACCGATATGGATAAGGGATTAGGCAAACGAAGAGGACTTGCAACAAATCAAAAGTTAGCAAATTATTATTAAAGAAAAATGAAGGGAGAAAAAGTTGAAAAGTTAATTTGAGAAATATGAGGGAAAATAAAGCAAAACTGCATAGAAAAAAATGAGAAGGGGAAGGAAGGTAACACTCAAAGTGAACATTATCCAGTGGTTTGTAAAAACCCTATAAACAAGATGGTAGAATTTGGGAGAGGGGGAAATGTTTAAAAAATATTCAAAAGTGAAATTCAGAATACAAGCCTTAAGATTTTTAAACACAAGACTAAATAGAATAGCACAAAGAAAAGTATTAAGAGGAGTATTTGAGAAATGTAGTTTAGGGAAAGACATAGAAGCAGTACAGTTTCCTTATGGAAGCTGGAACTGAGAATATGCAAAGCAACTGAGAATATGGAAATTTTGCACATTTCCAAGTGCAAAATGCATTTGCTTATGTATATGGAAGAAGGCTGAGTGGCGCAACAGAAAAAGCCATACACTAACAATCTAGGTCCTTGTCCCACTTAGTAGGAGCATTCCTCTGGGTAAGTCACTTAACTTCTTGGCTTCAGTTTCTCAGAGTGAAGGTTCTGGACTAATGCTTCTCAATCCTGGCTGCATATTACAATATCCAAGAAGCTTTTTTAAAATAGCTATGCTTGGTCTTGTTCCAAACCATTTGGCACCAAATCTCTGGAGGTAGGGCCTTTTTTTGTCGTCGTCGTTTTCCCTAATGCAATTAATTCTATTGCACAATGCGGGCTGAGAACCACTAGAATACAGGTTCTCAAAACGTGGTCCCTGTATTAGCATCATCTGAGAACTTGTTAGAAATGCAAATTTTGAGCCCCCATCCAAGGCCTAGTGAATCAGAAACTCTGGGAGTAGGGGGTTGAGGCATCTGTGTTTTAACAAGTCTTCCAGGTGATGCTAAATGCATAAAGTTCGAGAACCACTAGATTGTATGTTCACACAAGTCCTTTCCAATTCTAACGTTATGTGACTAGTCATTTCAAAAGGTGAAGCATATTGAGATTTCCTACAAGAAATATCATGGTATGCATTCCAAAGAAAACACACTTTTCAGTCTCAGAGCCAAAACTAGCTCCAAATAACTAAGATACACTTGCTGCAAAGATACAACAAATATTCAGCTTTCCTAAGCTCCTCTGGAAACAAAGGTTCATGGCTTTCTCCTCTAAATCACAGACCTAATTCATGACACTTGCTTCTCCCAAGACCCGTTCATACAAGTTCAGAGGTGATCCTCACTAGGATCGAAAGTAGGAAGAGATAGGGCCCAGTAAGCAAAGACTTCAGAAACGCAGCTGAATTACTGATACCCCAGGGGTAATGCAACATTCTCACGTAAGTTTATGAATTTTTAAGCATTTATCCTCCTAAAGGAATATAGATGACTGTGCTTTGGGATTAAAAAAAAAAAAAAAGTAAGATGTTTTCTGCTTTTTACTTCCTGAACTTGATTCATAAAACAACTGTCATCCATCTATATAAAGATGCAGTTTTGTAGTATATGACACAGTTACCGTGCTTATCTTAATCAACTGATAGCTACATAACAGAAACCATTCAGAGTTTGTAAAATACTGAAAAAATAAGGTTATCCTATCTATTCTCTAAAGTTACTGATAATAAAAGGTAAAAAAGATAACAGTAGGTCTGCCTGAAAAGGAGAAATGACCAAAGTTATCAGACAACTGAAACTACAGCAGTTTATTGGTTTCATTGAAAGATCAAACATTTAAGATCAAACATTTACCAAATGTGGTGGCCATATACTCACCGTATCTAATAGCTCAACAAATTTGGAGAAGTAATAAAGCCAGCAGGTACGTGCCATCTGCAGAAGCACAAATAAATCTAAATTTATTTTATTTTACTTTGTATATGGAAGAAAAGCTTGTATTTTTAAATTTTGGTAAAATATGCATAACATAAAATCTGTCATGTTAACCATTTTTTAGTGCACAGTTAAGTGGCATTAAGTATCTTTCACATTGTTGTTCAACTATTACCACCATCCATCCATAGAACTTCTTTCATCTTGCAAAACTGAAACTACCCCACTAAACTACATCCCATTCCCCCTTTCCCCTCACCCCAGCTACAATTCTACTTTTTGTGTCTATGAATTTGACTACCCTAGGCTCCTCACATAAGCCAAATCATGCAGTATTTGTCCTTTTGTGACCTATTTCACTTTGCATAGTGTTCTCAGGGTTCATCCGTGTTGCAGCATGAGTTAGAATTCCCTTCCTTTTAAAGGCCGAATCATATTCCATTCTATGCATATGCCACATTTTGTTTATCCATTTATCTTATTTATCTTTTTTTCTTTTTTTTTTTTTTGAGACGAAGTCTCACTTTGTCACCTAGGTTGGAGTGCAATGGTGCCATCTCGGCTCACTGCAACCTCTGCCTCCTGGGTTCAAGCGATTTTCCTGCCTCAGCCTCCTGAGTAGCTGGGACTACAGACCCATGCTGCCATGGCCGGCTAATTATTGTATTGTAGTAGAGACGGGGTTTCACCACGTTGCCCGGGCTGGTCTCAGACTTCTGAGCTCAGGCAATCCACCCGCTTCAGCCTCCCAAAGTGCTAGGATTACAAGCGTGAGCCACTGCACCTGGCCTTGTGTATCCATTTATCTATCCATGGACTATTGAGTTGCTTCTACCTTTTGGCTATTATGAATAATACTGCTATAAACATGAGTATACGAATATCTCTTCAAGTATCTGTTTTCAATTCTTTTAGGTATATACCCAGAAGTGGAATTGCTGGATCTTATGGTAATTCTATTTTCAGTTTTTTGAGGACCCAGATGTTAATTTATTTTTAAATCCAAGAAATTCAAAAAGTAAAGCACCAATTTTCATTTTATACAAAATTATACACATGACTTTCTTTTATTCTTGTAATTTTTCACTTTCTCCACCACAACACACACAATCTGATAACTGAGTCTTTTGCTTATTCTACGTTTACATTCAATGTTACAAACAGTTCACAAAATTTTAACATTGATTTTGAATTTCAAGTTTTTCCAAAGAGAAACTTACCCTCAAAGCTGTGGGTGACTGTGAATAGTCAACAATTTCACATCGAAATGAATAACCTATACCCCAGCCAGACATCACAAACTGCAAGAGAGCACATGCATATTAAGAAAGGAAAGCATTTTCCCAACAGCCACAACAAAAGTAGTTTTGATAGTGTCTCTTCATTACATTTTCAGCTGAGTCAGTGCAGAGGAAAAGGTAGCTGGAACAAATACAAACTATGAACATGCTTGATATCAGAGCTTGATATCAAGAATTTTCAAAACCACAAACCCATATATTATTTACATAAACTGTGTTCTGACTAAAATGCTCATCTCTTGGGATGATTATTCTAACATGTGAAGAATAAAACACTTGCAGTGTTTTGCTTAAACAGCAAATACTGGTAGGTGACTTATCTTAGGTTCATCTGTATATGTGTGAGTGAATGTGTTTCTATACTCTTAAAGGGGACTCTTGGATCTGAATCAGTCATTTCTAGCAATTTCCAGTCTTTCTACTTAGTCAAGAACTAAACATGCAAACCAAAATGCCTCAATGTACTCATAAGATGGCTGCGAAAACTGGGCTTTTTCCATCATTGGCTGGTGAGTGTGATGTGAGGTGGTAGTCCATGGCTCAGATATTATTAATAGTTTTACTGTGGATTCACAAGACAAGTAAAAGAAGAAAATGCTCTTGTTAACAATAAAAGTGCAATCTGGCACGCCTTAATTCCAACACACCCACAAAGTGATCCAAGGCTGATGGTGAGAAGAAAGAGCCTATTGTTGATAAATCTGAACTGTAATTCAAAGATTATAAAGATTATACTGACATTCTTTCAGTCTGATGGTGGGAAGGTCTTCTCATTATCTGTGAGACAGATTATACCGAGATCCTCAAATGAGGTTATTATGTGGTCTATACCCAACACTATTTTGGCAAATACCTGCTCTAGTGAGATCAGTTTCTTAATTCCTTAAACTGCAAAGGTTACCCTTATAACAGAAAACATAATGACACATAGACAGAAAAACGCAGGCAAAATTCTCCCATTAGGAATACTGAAGACACTTGCCTCATAACACATATACACAGAAAAGAGTACTATTAAAAAATTGTACGTTATCATCACTTTCTTGAGTTCAAAGGGCTTGCGATTTTCCATGAGCTTTGGTCCCAGAGAAGTGACAAAATAGACATAGAATCCTAGAAGGATGGTTTGTGGCAGAGGCGAGGACATGAGGAGCCAATCTTCAACTCTTGGATCTAAGAGAAAAACAATATGTGAGTATACACCTGCTTAGCCAAGGGATAACTAACAGCAACCAACATTTCTTTAATTGAGCATCCAGATCCTACTATTGACTGTGAGCTATTTGGACAATGATCACTAGTATCTGTAGAAAGGTGGAAAATAAATCAACAGGAATAAGGAAGTATCCTGGGCCTAGAAACAGAGAGGCTCTCAACAACCCCAGGCCTCAACAGGCTAGGGGAAGTAGTAGTTACCAGAACTCAAAAGGAAAGAGAAGCCCTCCTGGAGAGGAGCTGTGTTATGCTCTGATCGCCTGCATGATGGTGTCAGTGCCCTGATAAAAGGCACCCCAGGGAGCCCTCTTTCCCCATGTAAGGATACAATGAGAAGATAGCAGTCTGCAACCTGGAAGAGGGTCCTCACCAGTACCTGACAGTGCTGGCACCCTGATCTCAGACTTCTACCCTCAGAAATGTTAGAAATAAATTTCCATTGCTTATAAACTACCCAGTCTATGATAATTTCTTATAGCATCCTGAGTATGCTAAGACAAGCTTTGACTGTCAGTTGAGGGATTCGGCCAGCCCAAGACAATTTTGTAAGTATGGGGCCAGAGAAATAGATACCCCAACTCCACCCTCCTCCCTCTCTCCACTGGGTGAACCTAACCAGAAAGTATACGGCAGGGGAGCAAACCCAAGGATACAGTCTTCATGGATCGTTCTCCAGGGCCCAGCACAGGGCGCAAAGCTATCTGGAAGAGAGAACATCCAGCAACATCCTGCCATGTGTCTATAGCCACTATTAATATCTTGGAGTTTTTCCATCCATATGTGCTTTTATATATTTAAAAAATGTTTGTATTTGCTGCTTCTTATTTTTTTTCCTTCCCTAGGAAAACTGGCACACTTCCACATATACTGCATCACAGGATCACAGAATAGAAAGGGAGCTGAACATCCTCTAAGTAGCTAAAGTATGGGATTTTGGAGTCCATGTGGGCTAACCACTGTGATATTCTGAGCAAAAAAAATGCACCAACCTCACAATTGCAAACAGAAACTTATCTGCTTACTGTCAGCTCCAGGCCAGCAGAGATGGATGAATAAAAAATTACAACTCAGGATGAAATGTGATTAAGTCTATAATTTCTAGTAGTTCAAGTTTAATTTTACTAAATGGCCTCATTAAGCCAGATTATTATGAAGTAAAGGAAGTATGGACAAGTTTTCAGAAGGATCTGACTCAAAATTATGCCATGACTAACCTCAGGATGCTAACTACTGTCACTTTTATCAGTTGGAAATGAAGGGTAGGGAGAATGCTGCTCCTGCTTTTTTAAGCTGCTAATGATGTGGCCAAGCACTGACAAATTCTGAATACCCCTGCAAGTGTGACTTCCCACTCAAAACTTCTTCAGTAGGACTCTACGACTGATAACTCACTTGGCCTCAATTTTAGTGCTGGAGTGCTTACATGTGACCATCAGATGTGCATGGGTGATTATTCTGCATTCAAGTAAGCCTCCCTCAAAAATACTGGTAGAAGTCTCTGTCTCAAAAAAATAAAGAAATAAATAAAGCCAAAGAGTCAAGAGTCAGCTCCAGACTAGATCCCAGGACATTTAAGAATTTAATATATGATTAAGGAAGTGCTGGCTTCGGCAGCACATATACTAAAAATAGGAAGTCCCAGAAACAAGCAGGAAAGGAAGAGATCTTTAACAAATGTTGATAGGAAAACTGACTGCTTGGGAGAAAAGTGAGTTTAGTTCTTATCTGATATTCTATAAGAGTATGTTCCAAACTATGCATGGAAACAAGCTATTTAAAGACTTTCCACAAAGAATTGGGGAGTACTGGAATGCTGGGTTAAACAAACAGGTTGCATTACTACAGGATTTCTTAATACTTCATGTTCATCATGAATTGCCAAGATGGGAATGGTAGTATGCCATAGTCTCCAAACTTATTTGACCAAAAAACACTTATTTTTTTTAGTAGAATATTATTTAACATCTTATGAAACTAGTGTTCTGTGGAACACAGTTTGGGAAATATAGCCATTCACTAAAATAAATTTATAAATTAAACGACTGAAGATTAGGTGGTCAGACATACAAAGAAGAGTTAGTACCAGTCCTATGGAAACTATTCCAAAAAACTGAGGAAGAGAGATTCCTCCCTAACTCATTCTATGAAACCAGTATCATCCTGACACTAAAATCTGGCACAGACACCACTATCACCACCACCACCACAACAAAGAAAACTACAGGACAATATCCCTCATGAACACAGATATAAAAATCCTCAACAAACTAGCCAGGTGAATCCAGGAGCACATCAAAAAGATAATTCACCACAATCAAGTGGGCTTTATTCCTGGGATGCAAAGTTGGTTCAACACAGTCAAGTCAATAAATGTGATTCACCACATATATAGAATTTAAAACAAAGACCATATGATTATCTCAATAGATGCAGAAAAAGCTTTCAATAAAATCTAACATCTATTCATGATAAAAACCCTCAACAAACTAGGCATTAAAGGAATATACCTCAAATAATAAGGGCCATCTATGACAAACCCACAGCCAACATCATACCTAATGGGCAAACATTGGAAATATTACCTTTAAGAGCTGCAACAAGACAAGGATGCCCACTCCTATTCGACATAGTACTAGAAATCCTAGCCCAGAGCAATCAGGCAAGAGAAAGAAATACAAGGCATCCAAATTTGAAAAGAGGAAGTAAAATTATCCCTGCTTGCTGATAATATGATCTTCTACCTAGAAAAACCTAAAGACTCCACCATAAAACTTTTTTTTTTTTTTTTTTTTTTTTGAGACCGAATCTTGCTCTTGTTGCAATGGCACGATCTCAGCTCACTGCAACCTCTGCCTCCCGGGTTCAAGCGAAACTCCTGCCTCAGCCTCCTGAGGAGGTGGGATTACAGGTACCCACCACCATGCCCAGCTAATTTTTGTATTTTTAGTAGACACGGGGTTTCGCCATGTTGGCCAGGCTAGTCTCAAACTCCTGACCTCGTGATCTGCCCACCTTGGCCTCCCAAAGTGCTGGGATTATAGGCGTGAGCCACCGCGCCTGGCCAAAACTCTTATATTTGATAAATGAATTCAGTAAAGTTACAGGATACAAAATCAATGTATGAAAATCAGTAGCATTTCTATGCACCAAAGTATTATCCTCAAGAGCTGGAACAGCTCTTCAACCCTCAAGCTGACAGCCAAATCAAGAGTTCAATCCTATTTACAATAACCACACGCACAAAAAATAAAACACATAGGAATACATCAAACCAAGGAGGTAAAAGATCTCTACAAGGAGCATTACAAAACACTGCTGAAAGAAATATGGAAAACACAAATGGAAGAACATTCCATGCTTGTGGATTAGAAGAATCAACATTGTTAAGATGTCCATACTGTCCAAAACAATCTAAATATTCAATGCTATTCCTATCAAATTACCAATGTTATTTTTTACAAAATTAGAAAAAACTATTCTCAAATTCATAAAAAACCAAAAACGAGCTCAAATAGCCAAAGCAATCCTATGCAAAAAGAACAAAGCTGGAGGCATCACATTATCTTACTTCAAACTATACTACACAGCTACAGTAACCAAAACAGAACGGTATTGATACAAAAATAGACACATCGGCCAATGGAACGGAATAGAAAACCCAGAAATAAAGGAGCATACCTAAAACCAACTGATATTCAACAAAGTCAATGAAAATAAGCAATGGGGAAAGGATTCCCTATTCAATAGACGGTTCTAGGAAAACTGGCTAATCATATGTGGAAGACTGAAACTGGACCACTACCTACCACCATAAACAAAAATTAACTTAAGATGGATTAAAGACTTAAATGCAAGACCTAAAACTATAAAAATCCCAGGAGAAAACCTAGGAAACACTCTTCTGGACACTGGCCTTGGCAAAGGCTTTATGACCAAGTCCTCAAAAGCAATTGCAACACAAATAAAAATCAACAATTAAGACCTAATTAAACTAAAGAGCCTTTGCACAGCAAAAGAAACTAACAGAGTAAACAGACAACTTGTGAACTGGGAGAAAACACTTACAAACTATGCATCCAACACAGGACTAATATCCAGAATCCACAAGAAACTTAAATTGACATGAAAAAAATAAATAACTTCATTAAAAAGTGGGCAAAGAACATGAACAGACACTTCACAAAAGAAGACATACAAGCGGCCAACAAACATTAAAAAGTCAAATAATTACAGAAGTTGTTGAGGCTGTGGAGAAAAGGGAATGCTTAAACACTGTTGGGGGGAATGTAAATTAGTTCAGCCACTGTGGAAAGCAGTTTGGAGATTTCTCAAAGAACTGCAAATAGAACTATTATTCAACCCAGCAATTCCACTATTGAGTATGTACTGAAAGGAAAATGCCAAAAATATACATACACTTGCATGTTCACTGCAGGACGATTCTTAACAGCAAAGACATGTAATCAACCTAGGTGCCCATTAATGGTGGATTGGATAAAGAAAATGTGGTACATATACACTGTGGAGTACTATGCAGTCATTAAAAAGAACAAAATCATATCCTTTGCAGCAACATGAATGTAGCTGGAGACTATTATCCTAAGCAAATGAACACAGAAATGCAAAACGAAACACTGCATGTTCTCACTTATAAGTGGAAGCTAAGTCTTGGGTACACGCAGGTATAGATGGGAACAACAGACTGGAGAATCCAAAATGTGGGAGGGAAGGAAGGGGACAAGGGCTGAAAAACATCCTTTTAAGTACTATGTTCACTATATTCATGATGCAATCACTAAAAGCCCAAACCTCAGCATCACGCAATATACCCTAGTAAAAAACTTGCACGTGTACCACCTGAATCTAAAATGAAAAGGAAAATTTTAAAAACAGGTAGTGATAGCGAAAGATAAATAGGAGATTATTTTGATATACAGTAAGGAAGAAGAAAATATAAA